CTGATCGTTGCTCAGTAATTTTTTTATTAAATGTAATGCTATGTCCCTCAAAAACAGACATCTGCTTCAGTATCTGGTTGGTGGAGTAGCAGTTGAAAGTATTATAATTCGAAAATCATTTGCAGCAACCTTTAATGCAGAAATTAAAATTAGCATTGCCCACCTCCTTTTTATTATGGCAATTGAAAAACTTGCTGCTATTTCATCCACAATGTCCACTGCACCCTTAGTCATATTATAAAAATATATAATTTCTGGCGTTTTCTTTTCTCCAGTAGTATCCTCTATAGCATCATCGTTATGTAAAGTTGAAAGCATTAGGACAGTTTTTCCTTTTTTTAGGAACATAAATTGATGTTTTTTTCCCCCGAAACCCAAACAGTGTAGAAAATATCCTATCTCTCATTTTCAGTTTCCGAAATGCAATCTTCATCACTTTCAGTATTTCTAATAATTCTCACAGGTAATTCCATCTGCAATTCCATCTCCATTTGCCATAATAAGATCAGAAATCTTTAAAAATATAATTTCAAACATTTTGAAATCGTTTACGAGTGGAAATATTTACTGTTTCACTCTAGAAATAAATTTCTCAAATAAATATTCAGTCACAAAAGCACTTACGCGGACAAGCACGTGGGGTGTGTTATACCCCAGTTGCCACAAAATACCGATAAATCTGTTTCCGAAACACACAGGCAACGGAAAAGCGGTTCTGAAAGTCAACCACTGCTGGAAACTCAGCTACTGAATACAGCACAGAATTACAGTTTCACAAGTTAGTAATATTCCACTTTTTTGTAGAGGTAGGGTCTGATACACCCCACGCGCTCCCGCGGTTAAAGAAGCATGTTACTAATTTTTATGAGTGATAAAATGTACCTTTGCAAAATAGATTCAAGATGTCTTGTGATGGCAGTGTTACATAGAGTTCACTGTAAAACTATATATTTCCTCTTTTTTGACGAATGAGGTTGTCTCATGATTTTATTACAAGTATACACAGAGATACGTCTTGTAAGAAATGAGCAGAATAAAAACGAGTGTTGAAAGCACCCCCCACCCCCCCCATCACCCCCCCTCACCCACCCCCCCCCCCCCCCCCCCCCCCCCCCCCCCAACCACTGCTGGAAACTCAGCTACTGAATACAGCACAGAATTACAGTTTCACAAGTTAGTAATATTCCACTTTTTTGTAGAGGTAGGGTATGATACACCCCACGCGCTTTCCCGCGGGTTAAAGAAGCATGTTACCTAATTTTTTATGAGTGATAAACAATGTACCTTTGCAAAATAGATTAAAGATGTCTTGTGATTGGCAGTGTTACATAGAGTTCACTGTAACTATATTATTTCCTCTTTTTTTGACGAATGAGGTTGTCCTCATGATTTTATTACAAGTATACACAGAGATCACGTTCTTGTAAGAATGAGCAGAATAAAAACGAGTGTTGAAAGCAGTATTGACTTTACTATATTGTTACGGATTTTGTGTTTAGTTAGCTATTTGTAGTAGAATTGTAATTAAAATTGTTTTATTTCCCCGCGCAATGCAGTGCGTGATGAGTTTTAAGAGAAACTGAGCCGAAAAAGAAAAAATACAACAGCACGCGTATTTAATAAATAAATATCTCGTAATTTATATTTAAAATGAATAAATGTTATTGACTACTGTGTTAGCTGTGACCGTAATTCTACTCTTTTGCTTTCCAGAAATCTTGAGAAAACAGAAATTACCAGAACATTCTCGTGCCCAATTAAAAGCTTTAAAAAGTCGGAGAAAAACATCTCAGTTCAGTTGTATAACTGTTGTTTGTTGATTGCAGCGAATTCTTGATGAGATCGGACTAGCTTTCTTTGTTCTTTGGATTGAGTTCTATTTAAAGATTTAGTATTTTTAAGTATACCTACTGTGCGATATTGTACGAATATCTTCGAGGAAAACTTTCAGCATTTTGTTATATTTCTTGAGATAAGAATAAATTTTATTAACTTTTTATCGGATTTGTGCATTCAATCTATTACGAACCCGTACGCACGCAACACTTTTTGGTGTCAGAAGTGAGATTAGGTGCCAGTCACAACAGCGATGGAAGAACAATTGAGGCAGTTTATGACTGCATTTGCTGCATTGCAAGAAAAGATGGAAGGGGCCGTCATCTCCGTTACAGTAGAAATGAAAGCGAACTAAGAAGAGATAAAAGCATGTTAAGAATCAGTTAAAGAGGAGATTAAAGCTGGCCAAAAATCCGTTAAAGAAAAAGATGGAAGCTAAAAAAAATCAGTTAAAGACGAGATGCAAGCTGTTAAAAAGAAATAAAAGTGAAACACTCTACGGATGTTGAAAGGCTGTTTCATCTCGCCTTTTCGGAGTCCCCGAGAGAAGCAAGGGAAACCCTGTCCCTGCAGTACTTTATCGATGGCATTCCGTATTCGGAAATATAGACGGCTCTACGAATGGTGGATGTCCAGGACTTAAAAAGCGCTCTGTTGTACGCCGTAAAATTTGAAGCAGAACAGCAAGCAACTCCTAGTGACCGCCACCCAGTCAGAGCTGTGAAAGTCCACGAACTAATGGATTAAGTGAAGGTTCGTGATTAGATGATTTATCCAGACAAGTCAGTGCTTTGATACGGAGTAGGAGTGAGAACAAACTGGCTCAAAAGTGTTGGAAATGTGGTACTGAAGGCCGCATTCGAAGGCATTGCAAAACACGTCAGAGCACGGAAAATAAAACACATGATTTTTCATAACAAGTCAGTGGCTTGAGACGGAGTAGAAGTGAAAAGAAACCAATCCTAAAGTTTGGGAACTGCGGTGTTGAAGGCCACGTACGGAGAAATTGCAGTACACCCCAGGACACGGAAAATACGACTATTCTCCAGCAACGACGAGAGAAACAAATTAATAACCATATCTCAGAGACGAATTCGAGGGATAATGAGAAGGCCCATTTCAAAGCGCTTCAGATATCTGCAGTGAGTGGCGGCAATAATGGACTCTTCATCATGAGACAGATCAATGGAGATCCCTGCAATATGATGATCGATACGGGAGCGAATGGTACCATCATTAGGAAAGATTGGGCTCAACAGTTTAAAGATGAACTCATTTGGACCTCCATCCTGTGTTACTCTCCAGTCTACGCCTGGTGATAAAATAGACATAGACGAGAAGGTAAACGTAAAGACCACGTTTGAAAGTGCCGTCTTCTATCACACGGCATATGTGGCAGACATGACAGATCCTTTTATCTTTTATAGTCGGATTAGATTATCTAAGGACACAATTTTTCCTTGGACTTTAAAAATAACAAACAGCATTCAGCCTCTGAAGACATTATGATCCATAAGTAGACGGGATCCTCACCTGGAAACTCCGACTCCTTGTCTGGAAGATCCTGTTCAGAAAGCTGCCGATATCATACTAGGGTCAGAGAGAAACACGAGCTGTTGAATCCGATCGCAGGACAAATTAGCACATTAACATCGGATGATCGAGACCAATGGAGTGAGGATGAAGTCAGGAAAGACCAGAGGGAATATTGCGACATTAAACCCATAATTGATTTAATGGAGTCCTCAAAGAGAAAATCTAAGTGGCAGGACATTTCGAGCTATAGTACCACGACAAAACAATAGTGGGCTCCCTGGGAATCACTCCATATTCGAGACGGCGTCTTGTACCGGAAATTCGAATCGGATGATTGGAAGGCTTTCCGATGGCAACTGATACCTCCAAGATCCAGGATTCCGAATGTCCTTAAAGAGCTACATAGCAGCCCAACAGGAGGCCACTTCCGAATAATGAAGACATTGCAGAGAGTTCGTGAGCGCTTCTACTGGAGTAATGCAAAGGATGACGGGCAAAAATGGTACCGATCTTGCGATGCCTGTGCGGGTCGGAAAAGACCGAAGAAATGCAGCCGAGGCAAGTTACAATATTACAACTTGGGAACGCCTTTTGACATCTTGGGACATCTGCCACGAATTGCTGATGGCAACAAATACATCCTCGTTGTCGCTGATTACTTCACCTAGTGGCACGAAGCATATCCTGTTCCTGATCATCAAGAGACTGTCACAGTAGCAGAGGTAATGATACATCACTGGATTTCCAGTTTCGAAGGGACTCTTCAGTTACATTCCGATCAGGGAAGGAATTTTACCCGGCTGTAATTAAAAAGCTCTGCAAGCTACTTGGAATTGACAAAACCCAAACGACACTTTCATATCCTCAGTCGGACGGTATGGTAGAGAGGTTTAATCGAACCATCCTTAATAACTTCTCATTGGCGGTTTCCAGAAACCAACAGGGACTGGGAGAAAAAGTTACCACTGTTTTTACTGGCTTTCCGCAATGCTGCCCACGAGACTACTGCCTATTCCCCATTTCAGAGTCTCTTCGGTCGTGACCGTCTGTCTTGTGATCATTTGTTTGGTCGTCCTCCGGATGCGCCTTTTTCGCCTGAGGAATAGATGCAAAATCTCCAGGCCGGTTTGAAGTGATGCACAATTGTGCAAGAGAGCGAGTCTGGTATAGTAAAGATAATGCCTCTTCGAATATAGTACCTGGTATATCCTGTGTGATAGGCGTCTACTGCCGCCTGCTCGGTAGTAAATCAGATTTACATCTTCATGTTCCTCCTTCGTGTAATCTGGTATGTTGTTTCCGAATGCAGTGTTGCTAATCCTCGCATTTGTTTGGCCATTCTATTCTTCAAGCTAGCTATCCTCTCGACATCTGTTTTTGCGATTTTCACGCACTAAATGTGGTTTGTGACCCATGTTGTATGGTAATTATTCATCCTCTTGATATTTACTATCATGGCTTTGAATCTGTCGGTCGAATTCAGAAACACACTGTATAACGCAATGATACTGTATTGGTATTATTATTAAAATATTAAAAGTATACTGATTATACTTTTTAACTTAGAAATCATGTAAGAAAATCATGACTTAAGTTGTGAATTAGAAAAAGAGATTAAAAGCAAGGGAATATTTCACAATAAATTTATTTCCAGTCGCAGGTATTTTACGAACAACGTGCTTACAAGGGTTTGCATATAAATTTAATTTCAGTGACAAAATTTACATGCAATATTATGTATATATATCAAATTCTGTTTTCCATTTATAGAGAAACACAAAAGCTTTGTGCATGCACAGTAAATACGAAGAATTGATATTTATAGATACAGTGGTGTCCAAATTTGTGTTTCCATACATAAAATAGTACTTCATAAAAAATTATCAATCTAATTTATGTTTTGAGGGATTGAGAAAGAAAGTGTAATCCTAATTTTTATTATCCAAGTTGATTAGATCACTCTGTGCCTGAATAAAGATAGAGAAAATGTACAACACATATCTGCACGTAATGTCATTATATAGCTCACAGGCTGTATAAGGACTTATGGATAAGGATACAATGTACATTACCCGTTGTCATCTGCAATTCAGGACACATTTCAGTGTTTATTAATCAAATAGTATTTTAGTATCGAAAAATTCTTTAGGTGGAGGGATTTAGTCTTCGAAACCGGGGGTCCATTTCTGGAAAGCAGATAGAAATATAGTGATTAATTCTAAAAATAGAAAAATTGCCAAATGTGTCAAGATACAGAGTTCGAGCTCGTTTGATGAAGTTTAAAGACTCTAAAACTGTTGTTAGATATACAGTCATACTTTAGAATTAAACAATTATTGTCCGTAACTACGTGTCACGATAGAAATGTAAATATTAAAGAGCTGAATTTAAAATTTGTAACCATAACTGAATTTTCTGCATAGCTCTAAACTATACACGGAAAGCTAACCAAGAAAGAACTTATTCCAGAAAGTGAAAGGTTCGTATTTCACTGGATTTTTGGAAAAACGTCAAAGCCTGCCTAAATTGAAAAGATTTGAAGGTGTATACAAAAATAAAGAATAATGAACGTACTTTTTTGTATAGGTTCGATAGAGAATCTGGTGTATGCAGACATATAAAGATCAAATTTCAAGCCCTGCAAAAGGTTTCCTGGAGGTGAATATGTATTCGACGTTCTCTTTACAGGTGGAAACATCTCCACATAGACCAAGCTCTGTTGGTCAGTATTTTTAAACTAAAGTCCGTGAGCGGTTAAACTAATCAACCAAACCTCTAGATATGAGTTTCACAGGTGACAGGTGAACGCAGGTCCGGATACCCGGGCGGTTTGCATAGACTAATCGGATATCGTCCGGATCCCGCAACTATCTAAAGCTATACTTCGAAATCCAGACATTACATGGCGATACAAAGGCAAAGTATCAGATTTTTCCACAGGAAAATCGAAAAGTATTCTAGAGAGAGCTGTTGCATAGTAAAATTCTCCTGGTAATGATCTCAGTGGCCCATAAAAGTCCTTAATCGGCCTTTACTTCAGCAACCATTGGGCGTAGTCGGATATTCCATTTACAAAAGTGTTTTAAATAATGCAAGATGATGGTGACTAGAATTTAAAACATTAGTTTTGTAAACATTTGAGTTTTTCTACGTAGATTGTAGTGAAAAGTAATAATAAATCTTTATTTATTATTATTTTTTAAAAATAAAGATGGAACTCTTGATCTTGAAAGCACTGGTAGACTTTGCATGGCATTGCATTATAGCCAAATCGTAATATTAATTGCAGAAATTAAATATATTTCTAATTTAATGTTTTTTACAATATTGTTTATTACATCATGATTCTAAAGAAATAAAACTCCACAAGAATGCTAACAAGAGATTTGAAGCGTTTAAAAACTTATAAATTACTCATGTGAATTTGGTTCGGCATATGAAATGTGATAAAATTATAAATTAGTCATAAAAGGAAGTATATTCAAAGTAAATTAAATCAAAAAGAATATCAACGAATGATATTTAAAGGGGAAAACTCAACCTCGAATAGTTCTAATTTATTTATAAACCTTCGATGCAAATTGAAAATGTCGTCAAAAAACTAAATATCTCATTCAGTATTTGCAGTATGAAAATCAAATCTTTTGTGCTTTAATTTTTATAATAAACATTAATTTTTTATAATAAATATTGCATTATAAATGCAGGAACCGGAGGAGCATATAAAATCCTACATTTCGTAATTTTTATAAAATTGAATTTTTAAATTGAAAAGTAATTGATAAAACTTAAATGATCGCTTCATTAAAAAAATTGTAACTAGAAATATATGTCTAAGACCAATATTCGCGAAATTAAAGGCCGGGTAAAAACTTTTGCGGGCACGTTGCATATTGGAGAAAGACTAAAACATTTAAAACTCCAAAGCAAATAACCAACATTCTGAAGTATATTTTTGTGGGTGAATTAGAAGATATCACATTGCTTTATTAATTTTAAAAATATTATTCCAGTGTGTTACCTGTTTCCTAAAATGCCTTGTCGTACATTATTTTACATTTATTAATGTCCTAACATAATTTTTATCATATGTGTTCACTCATGTAGAAATTTTTAGTCTTTATTTATGTATTATGCATCACCGTAGATAACTTCTTTATTTTTATTCAAAAGGTTTTGAAAAATGAGTGCTTTTGTGAATGTAAAAACAATTTTGAACACCATTGTATAAAAATATAGCTATTTCCGACTTACGCAGCCCTCAATTTAACGCAATAGTTTCCCGACCAACATCCATTTCAAAAGCTATGGAAACGCTTTCTGCATCTCATTTGAAATTATCCGAACGGCAGCAAAAATGTAGATGCAACATTTCTATATTGTAAGGGCCTTAGAAAGCAATTGTCATTGCTCTTAAATTGCAATTAAATTTGATTTAAATGAAAATTTGCATAGAATCTCACTATTGAAATTTTCAAGTGAGTTTAGTTTTGGGTTCAATCTAATTTAGAGTGCATATACTTTTGAGCGTACGGATAGGAATTTACAAAAAGTTTTACTTCTTTGGTTAAACTGATTAGGTAAAGTTACGTGAAATAAAATTCTTACGTAAGTCGGCGAATAGCTAAGTGTTGTTTATGCTTAGATATGTACAGCCAAGCTTCGGAATACTATCTATTAAATGCAGGTTTTAATAAGCACAACAATAAGTTAATATGAAAAACACATTCTTAGCGAGACGAAGTGCGAAAGTTTGTTAAACCAATCAAAGCCGATTCCCTGCTTCTTGGTTTCAATGAACTGAAAGAGATATGGATATATTTGTAATGAAATAATTCAGTTTTCATCACCAAATTTCTTCTTCGAGTAATCTGCGTCCGTTTTCAAAGTTTTAACATGAGGCGTGAGGATAGCTTCCCTTCATTCAGTTTGTAGACGAATTAGTGATATTACGAATTGCTGTTATATCATTGTGCGAAAGAAGAATATTAAAAAGGATATTATTTTTTATAATACTTCTATACAAAAATTGTTTAACATCACGCAACAAGTTGACACATCTAACACATGGATTCCTGGTACAGATCAGGAGGAGACCCTGATTTAGTTGTGTAATTTGCTGATCTGAAAGCCCATGCAGCTAAATCATTTGGTGAATGAAGACTCACGTGCCTTGTAAAAGGACACTTGCATGTTAGCAATTTCCAAAATGCTCTCTTGAAAGTTTTATTGAAAACTGTGTAAATGATTGGATTAATTGTGGAAGAAACGTATCCCAACCACAAGAAAGTGGTTGCTAAATACGGATGGAAGTATTTTTGGTCCATGAAAGCAAAAAGTATATTTAAAATGAAGAATGGTGTCCAGCATATGACAAAAGAAAAGAATACTATGCCCAATACTTTTGTCGCTTTCTGTTCGTTCATTACTTGATTTGTACCAAGAGTGCGAACCATACCCGGCACTAACTGTTGTTGTTGATTAGAGATGCGTTGATGTTGTTCGTGCCCGCTCTGACGACCAATTCTTACTCTAACGAAGCCTTGAGAATTGGACTGCCTGTTGACTAGATCACTTGAGCTGCCGCACATTACCTCAGATGACTGACATCGTCCACAGTGCTGGCATGTGTTTGATGTGGATTGCTGAAGGTGACCATTTCGGGTGGCTCCGTCATTTCCGTCAGGTGATTCAGGAGATGATCTGCGACCTCTTCTGATAAAGGGAACTCTTCTTGTTGGCTTTTGGGCTAAAAATTTAGCTTTTCTCTGAAGCAGTCGTACAGTTAAAACGTAAGTGAACACCATTATGAGCATGGGAACGTAAAATGCAAACATAGAGCCGAAAATGAAGAAGAATTTGTTGTTAATGGCACAGCTGCCGGGAGAAGGTTGAATGTTGGTGGAATCGAACATAGCGAGAACTGTTATGGGACTTGTGATGACCATTGAGACCAACCAAACAAGGACTATTTTCATCATCACCATCTTCTTAGAACTTGCACGAGTCTTCAGAGGATTGCGGATACCAAGATAACGTCCAAGAGATATGAAACACATGTGCATTATGGAGGAAGAGCAGCTGAGTACGTCACATGAAACCCAAATACTGCAGATATGCCAGTCAAAAGGCCAATAACCTGAAAAGAAATCAATGATAATTATGTCTTTAATTCGTAATTTATGAATAACTACATGTAATTATCTACACTAATTTAAATAAATAAGTAGAGTGTACTTTCGATTATTCGGGCTTAAAGCCGAGAAACCAAGTCACGGACAATTTAAAGCACAGAAAATCCAAACTATGAGTTTTAATATATATTGTATGTATATAATTTTTAAAAAACTCAGTAAATTTATTTTGTTTTTGAAACTTTTAAATATTTGTTGAATTTCACTGCGCATTTTTCGAATTTAGCATTGTATTCGAATAATCTTTGGTCGACGAGGTCCAAAAGTCAGACAGATGTCATTTTTATTTCAAAACTAATGTAACTGTCAATAAATTCATCGCTTGGTAATCGAGTAAATCAAGTAATTGAAGTAATCGTTGAAACTAAACCTAAAGGCGCATTTCAGGGGTTTTTAGGCCATGCTCCAACTAGCACATGTTTGTTTATTACACACTATCATGCATAGCGTTGAGTGTGCGTGCATGGGCACCGCCGAGCACGGGTAATCCTCAAGCCGGATAATTCGTACCCGTATAGTCGATAATTCTCATGCGAGGAAATATTAAATAGCTAATAATGCAAAATTTTCTAAAGTGTATAATTTTAATTTGATAAATTTACCTCCTTTTGTTAAAAAAAGTTTAAAAAAGTTACCTCCTTTTGTTAAAAAAAGTATTTTATGGACTAAAAGAAAAGAATTAAATAATCTGAATACTGAACTTGCATAAGATCTGATGGTATAATATTTAGGCTGAATTGCATAAATATCAATCATTACGTTATTTGTTTATATACATGTTTAAACCTTAAGTGAATAAAAATATTCTATTGACATCTCCAATTAATAAGTAAACAAGGCATTTAAAATCAACGTAATTCTAATTAAGTCCGTAAACAAAAATAATTCAGTACGTGGATATTTAATTTGAGCAAAGATATGTAATTCGAATGTACTTTTGAAAACAATTAATTTTTTTCTAAAAGGATAAATTTTAAACTTTCTTCGGTTGGCTCCATGAGTACTTACATTCATTTGGTATTCTTTATGAAACCTCGAAGACATTTGGATATCAAACCAGAATTACGTATGTACTGAAATGCTCAATAATAATTGTAAAGTACGTAGCTATTAGTCAAACAAAATTACAAGAGATGGCGTCATAATTTAAAGGCCCGTAATGTCACCTTCTTAGGATGAATTAACTAAGAAGGGGGAAAGATATCAAAACATACTAATAAAGACGATGCCACTCAAAAATCAAAACAGTTTAGCCTTATGCGTCCACTTTGAAACATTTAATAAAAAAAGAAAACCTCCAGGGAAAATTAACTCTGCTTCAATGGAAATGCTTAAAATACATGAAACTTTGTTTCCATCGTTTTAGAACGTACTAAATTTCTAAGTATTGCATAAAAATTATTAGAAGTGATGTGAGAATGTAATGAAAAAGAAGGGGATAAAATTATGGTCATCTGAAATAATTATGTCTTTAAAGTCCTCACGGTACCTTTTGTAGTCATTCACCATACGTGTACAATGCCTAGAGCATAAATTAAAAAGCTAAATAAAGAAGGTTATAACTGGGGCTCCGAGCCAGTAGATGAAAATGAGGATCCCTCTTTATTCGCTCTTCTAGCCAATATTTTCTAGTTATTGTTGATCATTTTTTGTAATAATTAAACTTTGCTTCATGAAATTTAATCGAAGGAAATATTTTTCAATAAATGTGTCGTTGATGTTTGTTATTATGTGCTATTTTTGATTCTTGTTCAATCCTGTTAAGTCAAAAACAATACTATATCCGAAGCTAGCATACGAAACATATGTAGTATAATTAAGGCAAAATGTTTATTTTAAAATTCAGTATAATTTTATTTTACACTTCGATAGCCAAAAAGATTTGTTACAGAAGCAAACTCATTAACTATCTTATCAAAGTTATTTTTGGGGGCTCGATTGATCTCAGCTGTGAGTAAATCTAAACGGGTGAAGCTTTCCTGTTCCACGCTTCTTCGCAAATAACTTGTTATTAAATTTAGTTCTGAAAATAATAGTCCAGCCTTAACCCTTTGACGCGCGCGATATTATTTTTATAATTTTTTTAACTAAAAACTCTAGAAAGTGAATGTTATGATCCTAGAGACAAATAATATATGAATTAAAAAAAATCTACTCTTGCCCATTGTTCTGTGGGTGGTGGTCGCACTGTTCAAGGTGCAATTCAAGGATAAAAAAAAAAAACTCAGTGTTTTTTTTTTTTTTTTTTTAAATTTCAATGAACAAATTTTTTTGTGACACTGTTCAAAGCATGTTTTGTCTCTTTGGTACATGCATAGACCTACATTGCACGTTTCGCACATACATCTTGTTCTATGAGATGTATCCTTTGTGGTACAAAATGTACACTGCCTGGATTTAAAATTCACTGGTATATGTCCAGCGTTATTTAGTTTCTTTTCATCTGGCACATGAAATTTGTGTTTTTTTTATGTTAAATGGGGGGGGGGGCTTGGTCTTTTTGGCTTTGTGCGGATCGTTCGTTTCCCATTCATACTTATTTTATTCGTATTTCGTCCCAAAATATTCACAAAATATTTTTAATTTAAATAAAACTTTTACGCAATTTATATTTTTAATTATAGCAAAGTATATTTACATTAAATTTAAGCCACAGGAAATAATTTATAAAATCACAATACTAGCTTGGGGAGCAAGTGTGTTGATGTCGGAGAAATGAATTTGGAAAAGAAAGACCTTTTTACTGGGCAGGTGTATGTATTGTTTAATAATAACTCTGTGGTTTCAAAGCCCCTTATCTATATTCGGGTAAAAATAAACATTCCTATTTGAAAAGCAAGCAAATGCCATTGAGAAGAGCAGTGGTTTCAAGGTGCGACCACCGAGCCTCTAGAGGATTGTGTACATTGTGACACAATGCTCTAGTGGCGCAGTGGTTGCGCCCCGAAACCTCATAGCAAATGCCATACATATAGAGGTTTTTTTTATACATATGCAGTTTAATTACTGCAATTTTTTATTGTTTATAATAGAAATCATGATGCGCGATGACTAACTTTAGAAATTTAAAGTTGTTTATATTAATAAAAGGAAGTTATTTTGTCTCATAGAAAGCGAATTTTAAAAGGCATCCGATCTGAAGTATTAATACCTAAAACATATATGATTCTACAGTCATTTTGTGTTATTTAGATGTAAAAGATCAGTAATCAATCCATTTTCACTCAAAAATTTCGGAAAAAAAAGAAGGAAAAAAATTCGGAAAATGGTGGTTTCAGGGCGCGACCACCGCGCGTCAAAGGGTTAACTACAGTCTCAGGAATAGACGTCTTGTATAACTACAGTCTCAGAATTATACAAGACGTGTTGTCAATATACCAGGACACCTCGATGAAAGTGACCGATCTGTTACCAATACTTCTGCTAATTCATTTGAAGCTATTAATTTTTTTAAGCCCCTCTTTAAATGACGACTTAGTTAAAGCTAACAACAGATGGAAATGTTGATGACACATGCTATGGAAACTTTGGCACAAAATCAGTTGCTTTATCGTGGATTTTATTTTCATTTGCTTTCATAAGAATTTCAGGTTGAATTAATTTATAAGTATCAAGAATATTCAGACCCTAGAAACAATTATGAAGGTGGGGAGATAATACCATTGGGTAAAACACAGTTACCCTAAACTAAGCTATCCTTTAATCTCTCATGGCCGTATAATTCCTCACAACAGTTTTTTTCAATTTCATACCCTACTCCTATAAAACGCTTTATAAATATATAAAACTCTATATACGCTTTATAGAACTCTCATACTCTTTATAAAATTCTATATACTCTTTATAAAACTCTTATACTCTTTATAAAATATAGCCAAGATTCAAAGATCTCTGAAGCGATAGACACCCGACCTCCAAATGTTCTTCTCATTTCGGTAATTTTAAGCAAGGAGTTCTCCAGTAACCCAAAATGCTGATAGCAAATTACGGTTTAGATTGCAAAGATTTCGAAAAATGTTAAGAAATTCAAAAACTTCGCACTATGTAACTAAGTGTAGGAACAATAGTGAATAATTTTTCGGCTTGAAAAGTTGAAATATAAGTATCCTTCATGAAGTTTAATTTTTAAATTTTTTAAAAATAGTACCACCAATTCAAAAAAGTCATACTTTTATCCTCACTCAGTGGCCCTCTAGGTGCGGGGCTTCGAGGCGTGGTAGTTACACCCTTGCAAATAAACGTAATTTGTGAGGATATGAGAGAATTTAAGAAAGATAAAAATATTGATACTGAGTTACGTGACGAATAACTTTTATTATTATATCTGTGCAGATAAGGGAAATTTACTATCTGTACTCTAAAGGAAAGCGGATACATAACCGCGTTTTCAGTTTTTATATTATTTATGATTGGTGTATTGTGATAAATTAAAAAAAATCAAAGAAATTTCCTAATTGTCTTGAAAGTAGAGCCTATAGTTTAGAGTTCAATTATTGAAAGTCCACAGCAAGATAAGAAGCTAAATAGTCAATGCATATTTCAAACCTCTTTTTCTTCCCCAAACACATTTAACACTCATTGGTACGGGGTTAGTTGGAGCCCAAGACTTAGAGTCTTTGAAAAAATCACAGCAGGCTTCGGAATGAGGATTCTGGTTTTACATACCGAACTGCGCAACTCGTCAAGGCGTTACCAGTGAACATTCAAACTTTAACATTGCTCATTCTCCTTTTTACTGTGACGGTATGTTGAGGGAAAAAAATGAGTATTACAGAGAAACTGAAAAATATAATATGTGTACATGCAAGTAGAGAAAGAAGAATCACCCTGGTAATTAAACAGATGGACGAAATCTATGCTTTTCCTAATGGCATCTAAACCTGAACTTCGCATTTCGTAATGGTATACCAGATTACGAAATATTCTCACTTTTATAGTTTAGTTT